CTTGGGAGGCGGAGGCGGGAGACTCGCTTGAGCCCAGGAGTTGGAGGTTGATGTGAGCATGATGCCATGGCACTCTACCCAGGGGGGTAGCTTGAGGCTCCGTCTCAAAAAAAAAGGAAACTGTCTACATGGCAGAGCCACAAATGTAGCTAGTTGTAAAAATGTCCTTCCATCACCCACAGATATGCTCCGTTATCCCCACCCAGCCCCAGCCAGGATCAAGCTGGTGGGGAGAATGGGAGCCCTGTTGGTGTCACACGCACTGATACCTACTTCAGCCTCTACCTTAGGGACACCAACGCTCCCACATCCTGGTCACTCACCAAGAATCAGAACTGCTCAGAGATGCTCCCAGCCCTGCCGAGTGACCCCTCCTTAGTGGAACCCAGGGAGGAAGGAAAGAGGGTCCCACTCAGCAGCCCCCACACGTCCTGTGTCATCACCCTGTCAGTCGACTCCCTCATCAGACTTTTATTTTCTTGGTTTATTAGAAGCAGCAGAATTGGCTTAGACCTTGGGGAGGTGTCTTAATTTCCTCTTCTAGAAAGTGAAAGAGATAATCTGTGCCCACTGCACTCTCAGGGCTCCTAAGAGGATCCGATAGGAAATAGCAAAAGATCTTGCTAAGTCAAAAACCAGGCAAAGGTTAAGCCTTGTGAAGCTTTTAATTTAAAATGTCACTACACCTTGGAGAAGCATGTCCCCCTGTTCCCTTCCTCTGTCTCACCCCACTTCGGGAACATGCCACAACCCATTTCTCTGCTTCCAAGTCCCCAGCCCTGTCCACCCATGGCTCTCACAGGCCCTCTGCCCTGTTCTTCTGTGTCTCGTTACAGGCCCCAATACCTATGAAGATGCAGCCGCCTACATCCAAGCACAATTTGAAAGCAAAAACCGCTCACCCAACAAAGAAATTTATTGTCACATGACTTGTGCCACAGACACGAATAATATCCAGGTGGTATTCGATGCCGTCACCGACATCATCATTGCCAACAACCTCCGGGGCTGCGGCTTGTACTGACCTCTTGTCCTGTATAGCAACCTATTTGGTAATGATTCCAGCACTCACAAAAAAGCTTGCGTGCGCACACACAGACACACACACACACACTCCACTAACAAATGCAAGTTGGTAAATAAACTTCAAAGAGGCATAAGAAAACCTTATATGTATACAAATATATATTTAAAGTATCTTTTTAGTTTGTACTAGAAAGAGCTGCGGACAGAACTGACCACCATCCCCTAGCTCCTGGGACAGCACGGGAGCATGCACGTGTGTGCGTGCTCACACTCACGCTCACACACACATCGTGATGGGAGCTATTAAGGACGGCCCAGGGTTTCACTCTGAGCCTTGTTTCTGTGTGCAGGGGGCGGGGGCAGAGCAAGGCCTGGCTTTAGCCCGGTTGGTCCTCTAGGTACCCCCCCCCCATAAAGCTGTGTGCTCTCAGTTCTGTCCTGCTCTTGTGTGACATCCAAATCCTTTAAGAAACGGCCACTGCCCTCAGCACTTCCCTGCCCTGTACTCCCAACGACAGAAAAATTCAAGGACTCTTCTCTTTTGGGTGGTGGTAGTGGTTTAATGTCAGGAATTTTGAAGAATCATTTCTCCAACCAGCCCAATATCTCCTGAGTTTCTTTTATTCATGTTAAAAAGGCAAGAGTCAGAGAAAGGGGAGACTTGTTCTGCTTTCTAGAAACAGCAGAGGGGAGGGCAGAGTTGAAGCCAGCCCCTTCCAACAGGGCCTATGGGAAGGAGGGGAGAGAGGGGACTGCGTGGCCAAGGAGGGATGGGCTTGTAGATCTGGCCAGGGTCAGGGTCTCAGGGATGAGGCTTTCCAGGGCACCTAGGCTGGGGCTCACTGGGGTTCTTACCCTGATGCTGCCTGCCTCACCCCACACCAGCACTCGTAAAAATGTTTTTTGGTTGGTTGGTTTCTAAAATCAAAGAAAATGGTCAGACTGGACCCCTTATCTCTCTCTCTACAGACCGCTTCACGGACTCTTTGCTGTTGACGTTGATCTCCTGGTAGCATGACCTTTTGGCCTTTGTAAGACACACAGCCTTTCTGTATCAAGCCCCTGTCTAACCTACGACCCCAGAGTGACTGACGGCTGTGTATTTCTGTAGAATGCCGTAGAATCCGGTTTTAGTTGAGTCTTTACATTTAGAATTTGAAAGGAAAAAACATTTCTCATGTGCTTTGTAGCTTAAAAAAAAAAAAAAGGAAAGGAAAACTCACCATCTCATCCATATTTCTTTTTCTTTAAAAAATAAACACATCTGCACCCACGGCCCCCCATCCCACCTCACGGTGTGGGCCCCCCCCCCGCACCCCTGCTGAGGTGCTGGGCCTACCTGCTGCCGTGGGCTCCTCTGCGGTGCATTGGTCATCAGGAGTGTGCCTGGGCAGGGCTTTCCAGAATGCCCCAGGCCACCGGGACACCATGGATGCCACCGAGCGGCGGCGGCAGCTCCCACTCGTTCTCCCCGGCCCTAAGCCACTCCAGCCACACACTCACTCCAGGTTTGTACAGAAAAAGCACAGCTCTCACTGGCCAGTAGCTGCCAAACAGAATACAAGAATATCCCATCATCAGTGGAACTATAGCCCTCTGGGAACCAATTTGCCCACTGACCCCCCCTTTCTACATATTTCCTTTTTATTTTTTATTTTTTTGGTTTTGGGGTTTTTTTCTTTTGGGTAGTTTTTTTTTCTGTCCTGATGAGTACTATGTATTACATAGCAGATCCGCTCTCAAGAGTCTTTGGGAAATGGGGTTGTGGTTCTTTTCCTTTGACACCTTACAGGTCTCCCGCCTCCCTCTCGTGTGTGTGCTCCCTCTCCGCCTTTTCCTTTGTTTCACTGACCTGTGTTCTCTCTCTCATGTGGGGATGTTCGTGCTGCAGATAAAAAGAACAACAAAAAAAAAATTTTTAAATACCACAAGATGGAAAAAAAAACCATAAAAATTTTAAAAACAGATGGAATGTAGTGTTTACATTAAAGCCACCATTTTCACGATCAGTCCCTATGTCATTTCTACTTTGAACAGTATCCAAACCCCAAACCTCTTCACAGTTTCACTTTTCAGACTTAATATTTGCTGAAGAAGACCAGTCACAGCCATTTCAAATAAAGAGGAGGCAAAATGACAAAACACAAAAAAATTAAAAAAAAATTAAAAACTTGGAAAAAAAAAAGGAAAAAAGAAAAAAAAAGCCCACGGGTCTTTCTAAGCCTTTCTATTCCCAATCGGTGAGGTTTCTGTGATATCTTACACACTGCCAGTCTACTTCTCTGACTAATGGAAAATTCATGTGTAGCTCAATAAAGAGAATGTTTGTCTGTATTCCTGAGTCTCTCACCCTCTGCCTTGCAGACCTTGGTTATTTGGGGCGGGCTTCATTCTGACAGAAAAGGTAAAGGGGGGCCTGACTGGTGGGTAAGGAGTCCCCCCTCAGTGCTGTCCCTGGGGGCACCAGCTCAGAGTGATTCTGGGGACACTGAGGAGCAAGACCAGGGGATGGATGGGCTCTCTCTGCCTGTGGACACCCTCTTCACCAGCCCCAACCTGCCGCCAGCTCCTCTGCTCAGCTGCTGCTGTGTAGAAGGCAGGGTGGAGCTGAGGACTAGAAAGAAGAAAGTGGAGGGAGGGCAGGTGATCCCACATCTCCTGCTCACACAGGGTCCCCTCTGTTTCCAGGGTTGCACTACAGTAGGAGAACAGGTGGTCCCAAGAATGAGGCCACGCTGCATGGGCCCGCTGCACCAAGTCGCATCCGCTCACACACACGCACACAAGCTCCAGGACAGCCAGCCTGGCCGGGATGTTTTCCTTTGGTTTTGCCTCGCCACAGTAGGCTTCAGAGGACAGAGGGCCTTCAAGGGCACCTGGATGCAGCAGGCACAGGAAGCCCCCTGCAGGCCAAACACACAAAGGGTAACTGCAGCCTGGTGCTCCCGGGAGTCTGATCCGTGTCCTGCCAGGGGGCCGTAGGTCTCTTCTAGATCACCAAGCGTTTGCTATGATAAATCAGTGGAGACTGGGGCCTGGAGGGACAGCAGCCCACTGAAGTCCTTGCATCACGTCTGTGTGCTGCTCATTTTAGCAAAATCCACTGTCCTGCCATCTTTTGTGAGCTGGGGGAGCTTCTGGGAGGCCAGCTAATTGGAATTCTTTCCAAACCCCCAGTAAAGGGGGACTTATCAGCTCAGAAAGGCCTCTCCCTGGCAAGTTCCAACGGTCTTTTGAATCTAGCTGGGCTGGAGGTTGGGGTTGATAGGGTTTCAGAGGTTGTGGAACAAGAGGTACGTTCCTTTCTGTTGTGAATTCACAACCAATCCAGGCAGCCCTTTAGGCCTGAGGGCCATGCCTGTTGGCCGGGGCTTCCTCCCAGCTCTCCTAACCCATCACCCCAGCTTGTTACCCACAGACAGAAGCATACAAACTCCAATCTCTACTGATGGATTTGCAGTCCAGGCCACAACTTGACTTTCTAACACTGGTCTTGGGGGATGACTCAGGATCCAGGTGAAGGCTGAAGGAAACCATATTTTGTACATAGAGCATACTTGAATTTCTCTAAAAATGAGCCAGTCTGACAGGGTTCTTTCCCAACTTTTTTTTTT